TGGGATTTTTCTTTGGTTGTTAAACTGCTCTCGAGAATCCTTGCTGTTATTTGTAAATACTGGGTTTTACATGGAGATTGGGATGAGAGCCAGTGCCATTCCAAGATAGACGTTTCAGCTGGGAGGCTGCTCTGTATTATCTAGTTGCCTCTTTTAAGAGGCAACTGGTTTTTTGTACAGGATTTGAGATCTAGTTCAGTGTGTTTCAGTCTGCCCTGTTTTCATCAAATTTGGCTGCCCCTGCCACTGATGGTTGATTTCTGGCCTGTTTAAGCTGGGTCAGAGGCCTCTGCACTGTTGCTTGTATGCAGATGCTCATGGTTTTTTAACTCATGGGAAAAAAATAGCATCTGCTGACAGTCACTGGTAAAGTGCCATCAGTAAATGAGTCTCAATAACCTTTTATTTGCAAAGGTCTTGTGGCATGTAGGAGCAGAAAATGTAGGCAATCACACTATTTAGTTTTTTAGTGATGATGAAGAGGGGACAATGTGAGGAGGAGGAGGTGGGAAATAAAATACTACATCAAACACTTCAATTACAAATATTTTTGCACTGTTTTTTTAAGGTTTAGTCTTCAGTCTTTTAACAATCGATGAACTTGTAGGATTCCATGCATTTCACAGCTTTAACCTTGGTGGGGTTTTTTCATACTAAAGCATTTTGATATGAGAACTGGTATGGATTATTATCCTACTATGCTAATACACTGGCTTCCATGTACATTTGTGTATTTCTTTGGGAAATGTGGGAAAACAGTGAAAAGGAGTGCAGTCTAATGATGTAAAGACTAGGACTAGGACTAGTTCTAAAGACTGGGAGATGGACCGAGTAGTAGTGTGTTCGATCTAAAAATGCAGGATTTCTTTTACTTGCGTTTTTTGTGCTTGATGGCCAATATTGTTTGGAGGTTTTTGGTTTCGTTGTTGGGGTTTTTGTTGGGTTTTTTTGTTGTTGTTTTGGTTTTTTTAAACAATACATTTTATATCATGAATGTTTTCTCTGAAGACACCAAAGAGTTGAAGCTTTTGTTTTCATTGTGAAACCTGAGATTTTCTTTCATTTTCTTAATGTTAGAAACAAGAATATTTAAGTAAATGTGAAATAACAGGAAGTTTTGGTTTAAGACATGAGAATCTGGCAAAATTGAGGGTTGTGCCTACTGATAATCTTAAGATAATGCTGGAGTCCATTTCCAGTGGATTCCAGGAGTCTGATGAGTGATTTAGCAGTAATGAGTCAAACCTCTCTTGATACATCTGGGTGAGGTTATATCGCGCAATGGAAATCCCAACTGACAACTGTGCTCCCAGCCCATGGAGTCATACCTGCAAACCATTCTTGAGAGTGGAGAATCATGATGGGATGAGAAGGATCCTGGCTTACAGATATGGCCAGTGTCAGCAAGTTTTCAGTAGCAGGATCTGTTCAGGCTTTGGAATGACTTTTACCTCTATGCTTGGTAGATTTGTTTGAAGAAAAGCCCTTGGATTTCACTCTGTCAGAGTTCTGTCCTGCCTGCTGTTGCCTGCTCGTGGTTAAGAGTATGCTCTTTGGCCTTAAAACCTGCTGATCTCCTCTTTGAGAGAGGATATGTGTGATACTGGGAGCATAATGATCTTGGAATGCCTGCTTCATCATGTGTACCTATCAGTCCATCAAAACACCTCATACATAACACAGGAGGGGCTTGCTCACCTGGAGTGGCCTCTGAGGGCTTTGTCTGATGTCTCTCTTGAATTTCAGTTGATGGTGAGCTCTCAGGTGTTTGTTGCATAGGGCTTTCTAGCATCTTTGCTTGCTTTAATGTTCTGGGTTTTTTGTTTTGTTTGTTGTGGGTTTTTTGACAGTTCTTCTGGGTATAGTTTTTAAACTCTTGCATTGAATTAATTGTATTCCTTCCCACGGACTTTTCTTGGAATTTGCGTGGTATGTGTTGTATGAATGTGTGTGACCATCCACGCCTTCTTCCATCCCTTTCTCTTCAAGCTCTGACTGTAGTTGTTTAAGCTCAGTAGTACCTTTAGCTTCTAAAATGAAAATCCTGTTAAAAGGAAAAGAATTTAGGAAAAAAATCCTCAGCATTCCCATCCCACAGTGTATGCTGAGCAGCTGGTGCTTATGAATTCTATGCGAACAGATTATATTTCCATTAAAGTGGATCTACAAGTGACTTGGTGGGTCCCTGTATTTTCTGTCATAATGCTGTGTGCAATACTCAAGTTGCTTTGAGGAATTAGGGGCTGAAGTTTTGCCGCAAGCTCCTGTAGAGTGCTAAGATCCCAACACCCGATGAAATTTTGCTCCCTTGCATATCAAGAAGGTGGTTTTTGCCTAGCAACAAGCTTTGTGGTTTCTACCTGAGGATCAAAAACAGAAGTGCATTTGTTCAGCCTTTTGCGTCACTTCGGTACTGAAGGTTTTGACAGTCAAATCATCCCTGACATTTCTGTTGATGCGCAAGAAAGAGAATAATCCAGTGTGTTTTTCCATAGCAGTGCTGTCATTGCAGCACTGACAATAGTAAAAAGTACATTCATTGCTGAATAACGAGATATCCTGGAAACATACAAGAAACAGAGACACGCTTCCAACAAAAAATGTCTCACTTTTAATGGCTATTTTCTGACTGATTCCTTTTTGCTATTTATACTCCCTGAAGTATTTTATGGAAACCTAAGCCCTTCTGAAAACCCACCCAAACAACCAGAAGTGTATTTTACGTATTGTAGTATGTAAGTGATTAGTCATCACTTGTAAATTGCTTAATAAAGGAGGAGGAAATCTATATTAAGAGAAGGTGAAGAGCTGGATTTGATTGCTATATGTCTGACTTCTTCTTGCCTTCATTTTGTTTCCCAGAAGATAATTATGAAGGATTTCTTTTAAAAATTATCCTAACAGACGTTCTTGTTCTGGGTTTGAGTGTGGTAGCTGTACATTGTAAGATTATTTTCCATTTGCTTGTGTTTTCTTGGGGAAATTTATGGGCAGCATTTTTTGTTTTAATTTAAGGTTCTGTGCTGCTCTTCTACATTGCCAGTGAAAAATAATGTTGTCGTCAGAAATCTTAAGTGTAACAATATGGGGAACTCATTTTTTAATGAAATTTGCCTTGGGTAAAGCATGATAAGAGGATGTTGAGCATCTGTGCACAAGACCAAGTCTTGGCAGATCTCTTCAGTTGTTGCATATGATACTCTTTGGTTGGTTTGTTGTCTGGTTTTTGTTTTGCTTTGTTTGTTTGTCTTATTAATAGTTAATTCCAACAAATGGTCACACTGGAGAGTTCTGAAATAAATTTTTTGTATGTTCTGATTTTGGTACAGATATCTGTGTTTCTGTTTGTTTTGGAGGGTTTTGATTACAGCAGTCTATTTCCTGGATGGCTGTTTTCCAGGTGAAACCTTTATGCACTGTACTTCCTTGGGGATTTTGGTTTGTGATTGATTTTGGCTGATTCCCTCTCCTAACCCCTCTTCCCATCTCTCTTTTTGAAGTGTGGGGGAAATAGTCATTGGAAGATGGGTATGAGGAAAGGATTTTGAGTCAGTGGTTTATTCACTCTTTGCTCACTGAGTATTGGCTCCATGAGATTCTTTTGCATGTGCTTGAGTACTTGGGCAATAGTTTTCCATGGTGCTCTTCCACTCCCATTGTGAGCCTGTTTCTAATGAGCTAGAATTTCCAAAAATGTCCTGCAAGAAATATCAAAAACCTAGTGGGAATACTTATTTTCTATTACTCTCTACAAATTGTGAAATGGTTTGAAGAAAAGAAATGGTTGTGTTTATAAATTTGCAGGATGGCAGTGATAGTTTGCAAAACTGCCTGCTAGTCTCCTCTGTGTGCCAGAGCTCCTGGAGAGAGCAGGGCTGGAATATTTTGAAAGGCTAAACTCCACTTCTGGTGCAGCAGATTCAGCTCTTTTCACATGGCACGTTCCAGTGTGCTGACACGTGCTGTGTGGCAATTGCAGCCATACACAATGTAAAACACGCTGCCGAAATTAGGAGTCTAATAAAATCAAAAAAACAGAAAATCATCTCCCCTTATTCTTGCTAGGTTTCCTCTCCACTCCCCAGTAGAATATGTGCTTTCTGTTTGCTGTTTTTTTGTGTCTGCACTGACTTCTTCAGCCATGACTCACATGCAAGTCTTGAGAAGAGCTGCCTGTTGTATCAAGACAGTTCAGCGCATGGCCATGGCCTGTAAATCAGTCCAACTCATCCTAAAACACTCGTTTTTCTGTTAAATCAGCAATTCAGCTGGCAAATGCAATCCTGATGAACAGTAAAAGTTGCATTGCTGAGGCAACTCTTTCTTTAGGTTTATTTCTCAAACCATAACCTGGAAATTTCATTTTTCCTCCTCACAAAATGCTTCAGTAGAATTTTTTTTGGTGGATGTCATTCCGGGAATAGGATTTCTTCTTTCTCCTCCTCTTCCTCCTCCCATTCTGGATCATTTAAAATTTTATTCAGCTTGGTAAATGAACATCTCAATTCACTACCCTGGTAAAGCAGGTCACTTTCTAAAAGCACCCACCTAGCTATTTTTTCAACAGTATTTGACTATTGAGTTTTAATTGGAGCAGAAGCCATGGTTAAAAAGTAGGCAAATCTTTTTTCCTCATACTCTCATTGATTTCTGTTGAAGCAAACAGATGAGCTTATATATAAATATGTATATATGCTTTTTTTTATAATGAAAAGTGCTGGAATTCGCTAAAAAAGGTTAGAATTGAAATGAGTAATCTTCAGTGCATAATGCAATTGTTAATTTTAGCTTCTTGCGTAGGAGCTGTTATGACTTGAACAGCCGGCTCTAGCCTTCATTAGAGAAGAAGCAGGCAGTTTTGAGACAGGTGGAGCTGGATCAAGCTGTGAAAGTGACTTGCTGGAAACTGGTCATTAGTGTTAGAAATCTGGTCCTGTCCATTGCACCCCTCCCTTGTGCCGTGATCACTGTCGGTGTTACTTATTTTTCATCTTTTCCAGGTTGACTATGGTGCGTCAAGCTCTCCGAAGGACCAGCATGGAGATTGGCACTCTGAACTGTTAATGGGGACATGGGACTCACGTCGCCGTTGATCATTTGTGTGGACTTAACCAGCAAAGACCAACAGAAGACGCTAGAAAGGCAGTTGGAATTATAGCAGATTTTCAGGTAAATGGCTTCTTTGGTGCAGCTGATCCCAGTGTAATTGTTTTTGTGAGCACTGTGTAAAGCAAGTAGATAAGCTGCAGGTTAATCTGCTCATGAGGAGCTTGTGCATGCATGTGCATTTCTTGATGAGAATCCTTATCAAATTAAGGGTTATTTAACAGACCAGTTAAAGGTCTTGCTGCTCATGTTTTGGATTTTCACCAAAGCAGTTCAAGTTTCAGTTGTAACTGCAGAATAGCCAAAATCATCGGCCTTCTTGGGGAGAGTGGTGGGAGAAAGGAGAATCACAAATTAGCTAACAGTAAGGCAAATCAAGCTTCAGGTTAGTTTCGTATTCCATTCAGTTTGTTTATGAACTTTATAGCTTGATTTCTTGTGAAGTTCGCAGTCCTTCTCAAACTGGAAGATTATACAGGGAATTGTATTTGCTTACAATGTGGAAACAAAAGCAAAAAGTGGGAGAAGTAAGTGCTTATAACATAGTATGCTTTAGATTTTTTCACTTAAAACATGGCTTAAAAAAATAGAGGTAAGTTATACTGGTTCTGTTGAATGTTTAATTTCAAACTTTAAAAAGAAAGATGGCAAAGTGTGATTTTGCTTCATAGCTGCCCTTTCACTGTTGAGAAGTGGCAATGTGTTGCAAAAGACCCTTCCTGAAATAATTTCACATTTCAAATACAGTTGTTTTTCTTGAAGATGCTTCTTAAGTGAAGTGGATGGGGAAAGAAAAGTTAAATTATTCATGAGTCTTCTTTGACAATTGATCAGTGGGGGAGTCTTCAGGAGGGAGCTGGGGGCAGAGAAGGAGAGAGAATAATAATAGGCTTTAACTCTGAAAAGCCTTTAAAGCTTCTGTACAACAACCCCATTGTAAGCTGAGAGTAAATGCAGTTCAGTTGAGATTTTTTCATTAGAAGTACCTGCCAAGGGCTTTCTGTACAATTTTCCTAGTACTGAAGAGTGACATAGGTTTTGGGAAGAGGCTTAAGGTTTTAATAATGGAGCTGTTGGTTTGATCCCTGAAAATGTCAACCTTGAGAGGTTTATTGCCAAATTTAGAGTTCATACCTATCTTGAATTATTGCCTCTTAAAAAAAAGAGAAATATATATTTATAGTGGTAGTGAGCACCATGGCTTCTGCTATTCGTAAAACCCATGGCTGAATACTAAAAACAGTGTTGTAGCTCATGCTTGGTTTTCATTTCCGTTTGCTAGTCTATTATTTTTATTAAAAGAAAATTTTAAAACAATTAGAGGAGGGGAACATAAGATGCCAGAGACCTAGAATAGATCCTTTTTGCCTGGTACCATTGAGCTTTGTGGTAGAGAATCCTTCACTGTCCCTGCCTAAACCTTGGCAGTCCTGGGGTTGGGCTGGAGAGTCACAGCACATTGCCTTAAATCTGCTCTCCCGAAAGACTGTTCAGATCTGCTTGCTTAACCTGACACAACTCTGCTGTTAACCACTATTGTTGATTCAGTACATCTCTTCAGCTGGGACATACACAGTTTTCCACTTCTGAGCTGCACATTTTGGTTTGTTTATCAAAGGAACTGAAAATAGGAATTAAAAGAGAAAAATAAATTTCACCCCAAATGTTTTTTTTGTGTGTGTTTGTGTCGTGGTATCTTGACCTTTCAGGTCACCAAATCTTGTTATTTTAATTTCTGTCTGGAAGAATGTCTGAGCAAGGTAAATTGAACCAGGAGACAGCAGAAGAAGCTGCAAAAGAGCAGGAGACTGCCATCTCTGAAGCCAACCCAGACAACTGTGTTCTTAATAAATCTGAAAGCTCAGAAGTAGAGGAGGAGAAGCTCAGTGATTCCAAGACAGAGCTGCAGGTAAGACAGGAATAGTGAATGGGCATGTTAAATATCAATGTGTTACCATTGCTTTTCCATTTCTGTGAGTTCTTTCATTGCCTACACTTCCCCTATTTTTCTTATGATTTTAAGACTGTTTCTATTTTTTCCTCTTTAAAATTTTTATTTATTTATTTTGGGTTCTTTTATTTCATTATAAAATAAGTGTTGCTATTTGTTATACCTTTCAAGCTCTTTAGGCTGCTGTCCATGTTATTACTTGTTCTGAGAAGTTATTTTCTAGACATCTGTTTTAAAGCTTGGTGAGACATTTGACTGTTTTCCCTCTTTGGGGATTTAGAAAACTACCTTGATCTCATGAATGTGCAGGTAATACTAATGAATAATTACTTAATGTGTGGTTTGGTTTGTAGGTGTTACTGCCAACAAAAAGTTGTTATGCAAAGCCTAAGAAGGTAATTTGATAAGAAGACTTTATCGGATGAGGGGTTTTTAATCCTTTTTGCTCAATCGAATTAAAAAATAAAGGGGGAGACCACAATTTAAGAGGAATTTGGAGAGGGGGAGCATTTACTTAAGTATACCTTTTATTACATTTTTATTATATTCAAAATTACAGAACACTGTGTAGTTTTTTTTTGTTTGTTTGTTTGTTTGTTTATACCTGTTTGTGAAATGAATGAAAATGGGCAGAGATGATTCTTGGTTTTCCCTGCTTTCCAAACTGGGTTTGGGGAAATTGCTTTTGCAGTCAGCAACTATTTAAAACATCAGATAGAAGTGATTTAGTCTGTTTATTGGTAATACTTTCATCATGCCCACTGTCCACTGAAGTGATAACTGTTTCTCTTTTTTTGCTATACCCAGAAACGAGGGGCAAATCAGAAAAAGAGATCCAAGGTAAGGGTCCGTCTCTGTTTGGAGTTGCATGCCACAGTAGGGTGAAGAATTTCAGTTAAATGTCTGTCTGCAATCAAAATTGCTTTCTTTCGTCACTTTTTGTTAGCGTTGCAGGTTTTTTCTTGCTCCCTACTCCATAGTCCTTTTACACAAAGGCAAAGAACTGCCTCCAGATATAACGTGTCAGGCTTCACTTTATCCATCATAATTTTTTGCTGCTGGCCTTGCTGTGTCCTTGTGTTAGACAGCATGTGTGCTTCTATGCACCACTGGAAAAGGAAAACGTTCACTTCTTTTGCTTTAGTAATTAATGTTTCTGTTGGAATTTCATTTTAATGGAATAATCTTGACATAAAGAAACAGAGATTGACTAGCTCCCTAAGGAGGGAGTGGGTGGGGGCAGGTGTGGAAAGGAGCTTCTAGAAATAAATGAAACCCTTAAAAACTTACTTTAATTTTTCAAGTGCAGATCTGTAATACACGCATGTTTTATTGTCCATGTTTCTTGGATATATACTACCAGAAGAAGGGGAGGGACTCACAAAACAAACAAAAAGAAAAACCCCTAACGAAATTATAAAAGGAACCCTTGCATTTATGTTAAATTATTTCCAGTATTGGACTATCTGTTCTTTGCTGTTCTGGTGGAAGTGAGTGAACTGTAACTGAAATGATAAAAGCAAAAAGAAACTCATTTCCTTCCCTGTGTGGCAAATGTCTTGCTGCTTATAGTCCTTTTTTATCTATGTCCAAGGCAAATGCATTTTTTTGCACGGGGTGGGTAATAGTTACCTGGGACAGCTTATGTGGGCAGCTTATGTGACTTGGGGTCAGTAGTAGTGTTTTCTGTTTTGTTCTCTCTCTCTCTTATTCAGTCAGGAGCTAAGGGAAAACTCGTGCGGAGTCTTGCTGTCTGTGAAGAGTCATCCCCTCGCCCGGGAGCAGAAAATCTTCATGACAACCAGGTACACTTGCAATCATTGCTGTTAGCTGCATGGTTGGCCTCCATCTCCAGTTGCATGATTGTGTTACTTAATCGGGCATTTAACAATGTCTTTCTTGGGGGAAAAATTACATCCAACAATGAACATCTTTTTATGGTTCTTACTGGTTTAGCGTGAACTTTAATTTGAAATACTAGTTTTATACTGTATCACAGGGTGTTGTTTGCTTTTTTTTCCAGACCCCCTGAAAAATTCAGCAAATGGAAAAGAATTCAAAAGAATTCAGATTTAATAATTTTTAAAAATAGTAACAATCAAAAAGAATATTAATATGTTCTTTTCTCTAAGGCTATCTCTTTCGAGGCTGCACCAAATACAGTTATGAATATGCTCTGATTTGTGGTTCCTCTAAGACTTCAGTTCATATCATTGTTCCCCTTCACAAAAAATTCACAGATCCTTTGTTCTCTAAAATACCTTGGTAGAGCCAAGGATGCCTCCTACTGAGTGGCATTTGTTTTTTAAACTCTTGGTGTAAATTAAACTATATCAAAAAGTGTGTATTTGAGTTTATCTGTACTGGTGGTGTATTCCCAGCAGCTGGTCGAGTTCTGTCCTCTGCACTCCTCACCTCAGACAATAACACTGGTGGCAGTCTTTGCAGACTAACTTCAAAAAGTACTCCAGAAAGCAAAAGTTAAGCCTCAGTTACTCCTCTTTGCTTGCCTAGTGAGAGCAAGACTTAAAAAACCCAGCTAACTAAAACCCAAAATATGATGAACACTGCCTATAATTTATGAGATGTTTATGTGCAACTGAAACCAGCCATTGAGAGAGCTTGAGTAAGTGGCTTCTTGTCAGCTTAGCACAAAAATAAAAAAATGACATTTAAGTGTACTTCCTCACTGTTTCCTCTATTGACTTGAAATGAAACAAATCTGTCTCTCCTCCTAGCTCATAAGTAAGGAGAGGTTTTTCTATTTTTTTAATTTTATTGAAACACCAAAAACCAAGTTGTTTAGCAGCAGGACATTTGCATGTTCTACTGCTCTACAATGATGCTTATGCAGTAGATGGGCAGGTTATTTTATCAGTTGTTCTGTTGTAGGTAGACGCTTTTTGCTTGACTTGCATTACTCAAAATACGTGGCTTTTGTTCCAATTTTGTTTGTATTTTCTATTGTTTAATGGAGAACGAGAAGGAGAACAGTATAAAGAGATTGTATTAAGCATTGCTGGTAGTTTACAATGTACTGCACAGGACCTGTACTAAATGACAGAGACTGGCAGGTGTTGAGACAAAATACCTATCCTTGCACCAGACAGAGGAGGGGTTCCGGTTTCACACAGCCTTTGGTCTTACCTGACTGACCAGCCTCAGCAAAGATTTCTTTGACCATCTTAAAATATTTTTGAGAGATGAAATGTCTCCCTTGACCCCATCATGTTTTCTAAGGAAGCAGTTGGCTTGGTGTCATTAATTTGATAGGAATTGCCCTTTTGCTCTTGCTGACCTTTTACTGATGCATGTGGCTCAACTTTGCCATGGAAATCTGGACCTGCAGGCTCCTCCCTGGGCTGGCTGAAGGATACAGGAAGTTTTGTGCCAACCAAATTGTTTTGCTTTCTCTTTAGAGGAGAAGTAGTTTATTTTTGGTTTGGGATTTTTTTTAAAATTAATTTTTATTTTATCTTAATGGTTTATAAACCACAGGGAATTAATTATCAGAGAATGTACGGAACCTTGCCAGAACTACTGAGTATGGATTGTACTGCAGACTTGATGTTTGTACTTATATTTGAATACTTGCCTTCATTTTCCTGTATAAGGAAAAAACTTGTTTACCTGTATTACTTGATCTTGAGTGCTTATCCAATGGTTCACTATGTCCTTACTTTAAAAAAAAATGTTGCCTTTAATGTTATAGACCAAGAAGTGTATTATTGCAATTTGAAAATCTATTTTGTTGTTCACTATACTTGTATCAATGTATTTATTAACATTGTATTTTATTATTGAGAAAAATCAATAAAAATCTAAGAAAATCCACAGTAGTTTGCTTTCACGACTCTACAGCCCTTTTGCGTGTTTTTTCTAGGGCAAATATTATCAGTATTATGTTACACGTAAAGCAGTATTTACTGTATGTTCATATATGTGCTTTTCTGTAAAGTCTGTCATTTTCATCAGTGCATTTTTAAGAACCACTGTGAAGTTTAGGATTAATATCCTGGGAACAACGTGGCCAGTTACATTTTTCTCCTGTTGAAAAGCTAGCACCACAGTCACTCTTCTCTCGGCAGGGCATCAAGTTATCCTTTGGGGACATTTGGAAATAGTTGATCCAAAGTTTGTTTGAATGAGAAATCAAACTGCCATTTGAAGTGAAAGAAAGCAGGCACAACATTAATTCTCTGAGCATAACTGAGCAATTCAGAAAACATGTCTCAATATATCCTTATCTCAAATGTCCAGGAGTTCCCACTCTTTGCCTCTGTAGGCTCAGATTTTGTGTGAGACAGAAGTAGGGATGAAGGATGGTAGGTCAGGTTAAATATCGAGTCCAGGTCTTTGTTGCTCTTTTACAATGCTTTTCATCTCAAGTCTTTTGTGCCACATTCAGATTTCACAAAAAGTCAGTAATGATTAAGCTGAGAAGTTACCAACTTCTGTCTTACTGTGGCATGTTTATGCTGATGCTTTGTTTTGTTAGGATCTTGTCTTACATGTCTTGTGATGGCTGATTCGTAGTTCTTTAAAGAATTCAGAAACCTAAAATTTGTAATAATTACTGGAAACATCTTTTGAATTCATAATGGTTGCTTAAAAGCAGCCCTTACTTTAAAGTTTTCTATTGATCTTTTGGTATGCTAGTATTCTTACAAAAATAGTGAAGGAAGGGAATTCACTAGTGTCCAAGAAATTCTGAAAATCTCAAGTGTTGATGAATTAGGTTTTCATTAACATGATGTCAAAAAATTATCAAGCATGCATGATTCTCTTCTATTAAAGAAAACTGCTTTACCAGGAAGTTTTATGACAGCTTTCTTTAAATTTTCTTTTTTACACTACTAAAGCATATAGTTTTCTGGGGTGGGTTTTTTTCTTTAAGATAATAAAACACAGAAGTATGCTTCCTTCAATTTTGTCCAACCAGAACAGGATTTCTTGAAATACACAAATTATGCCATGGTAACTTAAAAAGAAAACAATTTGGGTTTTGTTAGGACAAAGCCAGTATAAAGTAATGTTGTCAGCAGGGAAAGCAAGTTCTTTAAAGCTGCAAAGCAGCTTGAATTCTCAAAATGCTTAAAAATTAACTTTTTAAAGCTGAAGCATGTTTCAAAATGACTCTAGTCTCTGAAATACTGAATTTGTGATGCCTTAGAGAAGTTCATTTACTCAAATGTCCTTGAAAAATCACAGGGTACATTTCCCCCATTTCGCAAAAGGCACATCTGCATCTGTCTTTAATTATGAATTACCTGATAAGTTAGCAAGCCTTCTTGTATACAATATAGTATACAATTTGCTGGCAGTCTTCTACTGTTAGAGCCAAAAAACTCCATCTACCTGATACTGCACTTAGTGTGCAAAACAATTCATATCAACCTGCAGACTTTCTAGTGAAAGGAAAAAAGTTTTATTTTTCAGATATCTATCCATTGATCATCACTGAACATATGTAGTATTAAATTATATAATTAAGAAAGGCCACATGAAAAGTATTTCGTATTTTATTCTGAAAAGTCGTAAATATTAAAAGTTGTAATTTAACACTGAAGTGTAAAATAATATAGTCCCCATTAATAGAGGTAGCCTAAATTTTATAATATTCAAAATATTAGAGAAGTAATACCTACTTACCACTATAATTTGGTCTCTAAGATATCATCCTTCACCTGGCTAAAAAATGCCATGTTTCCAATAGGAAAGAAATGTATCTGGCTTCAACTTTTCTAGTTATGCATAGTTTAATGCTGATATCTGCAGGTTGGAAGCCATGGGAAGCACACTGGATCTTGCCCATAATTTATCTATCTTTTTTCCCCAACAGGAATCAATCCAACTGCAGCTTTCAAGTTTTCCTAGCTTGCAAGAAGAAGATAAATCTAGTAAAGATGACTCGGAGAAAGAAAAAGAGAAGGATAAAAATAAAGATAAAAACAGTGAAAAAAGCAAGATCAGAATGTTATCAAAAGGTGAACTTAAAAATATATGAATGATTATAAATACCATTGCAGAAAGGATTTTACATTTTTGCAAGGATGTATTTCTTTATTTGTGTATATGTACACAGTAAAAGTGCTTTCATACACTGATAAAATTCAGAGCCTAAAATGTATATGAGTAAGAATGTTTTTCATGCAACCATTAGGCTTTAAAGTGAAGAAACCTTCCAAACTGAGGTCTTTTATTGGATTTTATTTATTTTCTAATATAAAATCTATCTTTTGAATGCTTAACTGTGTTATTAGTGACAACAAGTAAGTTGAGTTCCACACTTGGTTTATATATTTATGTATTTATGTGTTGGTATAAACACACAAATATATAAATATATAAATACGTGTGTGATTGCATAATAAGTGTATATAGTGCATAAGACATTAGTACTCTTTTTATCTAGATTACTGATAACATATTGGTATGTAACTTGTGCAGTGTAGGAGTAGAGGGTAATCCTCTTCACTATTGTTTCTCTCTCACGAAGAATTTATTTTAAATGCTGTAAGGAAATTGATCCATGACATTTAACCTGCATTGCCGTCTTCAATTATCACCTACCAAGACTTCTTCAGGAAAGATGTTTTAGCTAAATTTGGCATTGCTTTTAAAAATATTTTTATTAATCCATGGTATAAAGTTGCATTGTAATCTCCCAAAAATAATCATTACCTACCTGGGTGTGGATCTGCAGCTGGTGTGAATTGTCATTTGGCTTCAATGGAGTTCTCACAGTTCACGCCAACTTGAGGATCTGTGTGTACATTTGAGTCAGGAGATAATGCTGAAAAATTAATTCTGGCTACTGTCACGCATCCCTATTACCTGCCTACTCCCAGGTGTCATTGGATTTCAGTCTTTTAATGCAAATAGAGTTCCCACTGGCATGATTCCTCATTTGCTGAGTGTACAGCATTTATTAAGTGACGCAAAGAGACATTGATGAATAAAAACTTTTCTTTCCTCATTTTAAAATGTTTTTTTAGTGGTTTAAAGGAAGAACTTGGCAGGGTCTTGAATGGCATTGAAGGTTTTCTGTGTTATTAAATGACCAGCAATTTCTGTCAATATTTAGTTTTGATGCTGTGTTCTCATTGTAGTTGTACAGAGGAAGAATGAATATCCACCTGATGCTTCAGAATGTATATCTTTCGTGGATGAACTCCAAATGACTCTTTTCTTTCAGAGCATATTCTTTCTGATTGTTGCTGGAAAATGGATTTTGATTTATAGCATAGCTAATCAGAACGGCTGAAATTAAATAAATGAGTGGAGGCTGTTTGTTTTTATTTTTCAGATTGCAGTCAAGAGTATACAGACTCAACAGGCATAGATTTGCATGAGTTTCTCATTAACACATTAAAGAATAACCCCAGGTAGGTATTTCCTGTGTTAGAGCTGACATTCCTGAAATTGTAGTTGGCAGTCTTTAACTTCTTGTAACTCTACACTGTGTTTTATTTGTTCTGGAGATGGTTATGAGGGAAAATGTAAAGGAGGTAGGCTGTTAACTGAGAAAAATGGTATAAAAAGTCATCAACTTCTGCTCCCCCATCCAGTCACCCATTTCTTAATTTCGCATTCACTAACATCTGGTCTTTGTCCTTACCTTCTTTTATGCAGCTCTACATGGTGATTGCAATAATATATTATAACTATTGCAATTGGAGATTTGTATATGAATGTGAAATAGCTTTCTTCTAGCAATACTGCACACAATTAAAATCCTATGCTCAGTGCCAAATTCTGCTTTCAGTATTCTCATAGTTTTCATTTGGAGCTACAATTCTCATTGTTAAATTTGCCTCTAAACATCCAAGGAAAGATCTGTAACATTTTTATACATTGTGATTTTCAATGTTCATTTCAGCTGGATCTGTTAAATAGGTACCATGTAATTCTGCAGTTATTCCCAGGAGAACTGGGAATAACTGGGTACCTAACAGCTTGCATAACCCCTTGTACAGATGATGGAAGGTCCTTCAATTGCTTTATCTGTGTAAAATGAGAAAGTTCAAAAGAACTAAGGAATGATGGGACTCTGTCCAGCTTAGATATGTGTGGAAATATGCTGGGCAAACTTCTGAATGTTTTTGACAAGGGAGGGGAGGGAAAAGGAACATCTGAGACCTTCCAGTGAAAACCAGAGGATTTTGCCTGGGAAATACTGTGGTATTGCCTCCTGGGAACCATAGCTCAAAGGTGGTGTTCTTCATTGTGTTCTCTAACTAGATTAGATGTGTCCATCTTTTCTACAGCAAATCAGTGCCTTGTAGAGTTCCGGTATGTCTCAGGAAAAATGTTTAAAATTTCTGTGGGTAGCAGCTTTTCTTGTGAAATATCTAGCTTAGGGGGAAATCTCATTTTCCATCAAAAAAGGTTGAAAAAAGACCAAAGCTATCCATAGCAGTGAGAGTCTTTCTGTGCAATGCATTGATTGCAGCATGTTGTGGCTGAAAGCGCTCTCAAACCATAGTTGAGCTCATAGAAGAGTGAAATCTGTATGTCAGTGAAGGTGCAGAAAAGCAGGCTTTAGTCTTTTGCAGATGTTCCAGGGTAAAAAAAAAAAAAAAAAAAAAGCATGTTTGATTTTTAATCAAGATGACTGACAATGCTTGCAAAATAGCCTTTCCTCTAAAATGTCTACTCACAGTTGATGGTGCAAATCCTTGCCTTTCTTTTTGACAGGGACAGAATGATCCTCTTGAAAATGGAACAGGAAATTATTGATTTTATTAGTGACAACAAGTAAGTTGAGTTCCACACTTGGTTTATGAAGTCACGCGCGTGTGTTGCAGCGTGGGTTGTGCGAGGGATGCTCTCATATGGACTACAGTGCTCCTGAGGGCTGTTACTGGCACACTGCAGGAGCAGGCTTCTATTTCCTGCCACGTGGTGGAACTGCTTAAAATAAAGTAGATGTAAATGAAAACCTTTTGCTTTTCATTGTGTTGTAATTGCACTGGTTCTGCTAATTTAGATCAAAAAATATAATTATAAGCTTTTAGTGTAGAGGATAATCATATATGTTATCTCATGGTTTTTCCTTTGTGCTATGTTACTCTAATACATTGGAAAATAAAACTGAGCTTAGGTGGAGGGATTCTTGCTACTGTGTGGTCTTTATAATAAAATATTCCAGCAGCTTTAAAATGAGAGAGTCAGAATAGCAGCAGAAGAAAAAATTATGCTGATGGGAAATAACCATTTTGTCAGTAATAGAGGAAAAAAAGGAGTGTTTGCCAGACTAGATCTTTCCAGAATTGCCCTGCATCTGACCTCTGGGGGAAAGGCAGAAAGCTGTTGCCAGTGTCTCAGCAAATCTGTAGGATTGGTTGTGCAGGGAGCGTGAGTGCATGTGGGGGATTGGGGGATGAGTTCTTCCCAACACTCAGAATACTGACTAGGTACCGTGAAGCATGAGCTTTGTTTGTCCCAGTGTTGCACATGGAAATGTACTTATTAGAAATCCTAAAATTAATTAATTTTTTTTTCTTTCAGCCTTTCTGTAGCAAACATTTATATGTAAATTCATAACGGAGAAGTTTTCAGTGAGATTTCTGTGCACTGAATTGTCAGATGTATTGCTGTTTTCATTTATTTACGGCTTAGAGGGAAATTTAATTATCAATGCTATTCATTTGCTTTGTTTTTAGTAATCACTATAAAAAGTTCCCTCAGATGTCGTCGTATCAGAGGATGCTAGTGCACAGAGTGGCAGCTTATTTTGGAATGGATCACAATGTGGATCAGACTGGAAAATCTGTAATTATCAACAAGACCAGCAATACAAGAATGTAAGTAACAGCGTTGTTGTGTTTTTCCTTGTTCCCTTTCTCTAGACAGGAGCTGGTTTGTACCATGACTGCATGGTGTAATTTATATATACATATATATATAAGTTTTTGTTTGTTTTTGTGGCAGCAGTGAGTGCTGTTTATTGTTTTCTAGGTTGGGAAGGGAGGACAGGGCTCTCATGGTGAGGTTATCTAAGGCTATAACAATACAGGAGGAGAAATCAACCTAACTGATTTCTTGCAAGAAAGCACAATATCTTGGAATCTTCACTTTTCTTGATTCCTTAGTGCCACCACTTTGCTACAGAAGTGAGCATTTTGCTTTGCAAGTCACCTGATACCATACAGCTACATCCCAAACAGACCAAACATATTTGGAAGATTGCCTCTTTCCTTGTTCTGGCTCTGACTGCTTCAAGAGTCATTTTCTGCCCAGCCTGATTATTTAGGATTTGGTTTCCCTCCACTGCCTGCCACCATTCATTCCCTTTTCTTCGCCATCTTGGTTCCACTTTATTTTCCCTTCAAATCTCACTGTTTGACTGCAGTGGTTCTGTGAAATACAAGTTCCTTCTGATGGCTCAAATGCATTGCAAAATTCCTGGCAGGTTAAAACTGTCCTGGCATAAGTTCTGTGCTTCTCCATGAACTGGTTAAAGCCGTATAAGGTAAAACTGTATCAAGCTAACCAAAACTCAATATGAACTGCGGTAATGTGTCCATGCCTAATCACCATCACTTTTCCTGCCAAGTGCCATGTGTGTTGAACATAGCTTTCCTGTCCCTCTCTACCTATGAACTACATAATTAAGAGGAAGTAATTACAGCTGGGTAATGAAGTTTTGGTATCTGGTATTGGAACAGGAAAGCCCCATTTGAAAATTGTGTACTTCCTGTATTCAATTAGTAAGAGAAATCTAAACATTTGTTTTATTTATATATCCAGTAGCTAGGTGATTTATTTATAACTAGTTGCAGAGAGCATTTTCCAATGTTTTTAGCTTCTCTTGTAGAAGGGTGGAAGGACTTGGGAATGGTGCTGTGCAGGGCTGGGAGTTGGATTCAGTGATCCTCATGACTCCCTTCCAACTCAGCTTATTCTCTGATTTTGTTACTACCTAATTGTTCAGGATCAATACACGTTGGTATTTGGTATTTCACTGAGCCCTAGAAGTCTTCTATGTGAATGTAGTAAATTTAAGATAATGGGCAATTTATTTTAAGTCTTTTTCCTGGGCTGTCCCTGACGTACTTGGATACCTGTGAAACAAGCGCTTGGGCATTCATGTTTGTAAAGGTTTGAGTGAAGCATGCACTAACAGTTTGATTTTCAGAAGTCAAGAGAATTACAGTAGCTTGATAAAACACTCAGGCTGCAAAGGCTTAGCCTCAGGGTCTGATAATACCTGCCCCCTACAAGGGCTATCTTTGGTTTTGAATAAGAAAATGCTTGGTATGCAGCAATCTGGAGTTCAGTTTAGAGCTGAAAACGAATCCCCTCTTAAACAGAACACAATCAATCATACTGGAATGCTCTTTAGGCATTCCTCTCTTTTATAGTCCTCCCTTTTCCCTTCACGTCTGTCACTGGTGCACCAACTGCTACAGATCTTTCCTTGCAGCATTGTCTTCTCCTGATTGACTTGATAATAGAATAGTACTAACACATTAATATCTGTAAATGCCTTGCTCTGTTGTGTGGCTTTCATCTCACAGATGAGTAGCACTGGAAGCACTGTTGGAAATGCTTACATGGTGCTTCTGGAGAGGACACTAAAGCCTTCTTCAACAATCAGAGCTTCATCTGAGTGCTCTGGTGAAGCTGTGGCTTCATGCATGGTGGGAGTGAGCAAGCAAGGCCATTTGCTAGGTATGAACTGGCCTTCTTGCAAGCTCAGCAGGCAGGATCTTGTAGGGATATAACAGATCAAATGGCCTTTTTCAGCTGTGCTCTTGCAGACTGGAGGTGAGGCCATTAAAGACTGGCGCTGACATCATTCCTGTCTAGATATTCCAGAAATAAACACAGGGTTTTGCCCCTCTGTTGACTGTAAGTACAGCTGTTTTGTAAGCACCACACAAGCCACAAGCTGCTGATTTCTTCCCTCTTCATGATTTGGTGGTAGGTAACTGGATTATATGAAGCTTATATTGCCTTCTGGTTCTTCCAGTCTGTTATTTACATTATTTTGATATTACCATAAAATAAAGCTTTTGTGAAGTGGCTGTTCCTTTTCATAACTGGAGGAGATGGCATGTTTTTTTTTTTAAACGTCCATGGCTCTGACAGAAAATAGTTTGTTATTATCTGGCATGAATAAGGGCTGATGAGATTTTATTATCCTCAGCAAATATTGTGTAAGTTCCACATCTGAAAGCGTCTAATGTGATTTCATATGTTCTGCATTTCACTGCTCTCAGAGGAGACAGTTTTGTGCAGTTTCAAATCAACACCAAATACTGGGAATGTGTTGACTCTATTAATTACTACTTGGACAATATCCAGAATACCGGAGAATCTGAAGAGCATCTGAAACACTGTTAAACATGGTTATGTTGTGCTGTAAGCCTAAGCCTTGATGGCTTCATGTGAATTTATGGAGAGGCCCCACAGACAGATGTTCTGAAGATCTGCATTTTGGCAATAAAATTATCTCTTTATGGCATGTTGTTTCCAGACTACTTTAGCTACTACTGTGGAGAGAGAAGAATATTATTGCATACTCAGGAATTCATAAATTCAACACTGGCTGTGACTTCTGTGTACTTGTGCTTGTTTGAGAGGAGCATATGACTCTGCAGTGTCACCCTGTGGGCTTGAATAAGCCCCTTGTGTTTATTTCTTTGGCTGAGTGAGTGTTCATTTCACATCTCTGCTCCCGCTTGCAGACGATGAGTTCTTCCCTGGCTGCAGGTGATGAGTTCTTCCCTGGCCCCAGGCAGTGAGGTGCATTATTCCTGTTCAGCAGAGACCTCCCATGCTCGCTGCCTGCAGGTGCTCGGAGGTGCAAGTGTCAAAAGAGTTAATGGTTTTGAGATGAAAGGGCTGGTTGGAAACCTCTGGTATCAGCATTCCTTACAGGTGCCTCGGAAAGGACTAGTGTGTGTCAGTCCAGGGGTGAGCATATGAATGAAGCAGATCAGGGCATTTCCTTCCTTCCATCAATTGGCTGTCTTAGGGCAATGTGGATCCACTTCTATGTACCTATGCCTGTAAAGTACCTACTTTACAGAGGTTTGGAATATGAGAAAGTGTTTATTGAAGAAATCGTAGCTGGAGGGAGGGCTGCAACTTCTCGTGTTCATCCGTGCTGCTTTATATAGAGGGGGAAAAAGTGGTAAAAATTCACTAGGATCTTAATCTCTGGGAGTGCAATCCTACAGCGTTCATGAACTCTCAGTGAAGTCTCTCTTAAAAATACAGTCAGACAATAATGGCAATTTTTCAGGCTGAAGAGTATTTATAATGAAGAACTTACTCTAAGAATCTAAGATGCCTTTTTTTTCCTTTAATTTTATTGGACTGTGAACAAGGCCTGCTGTTTTCAATGCTTTTTTTTAAGAAATGAAATTTTAAAAGACAGTGAGGACAATCAACCACCTAAGTTTTTATTGACCTTTAAGTCTCTGTATTCTAGCTTTCATTAGAGAATAGAGAATAGTGGATTTTCAAAACAAATTTTCTTTTCATATGATTTTTGAAATTAAAAGTCCTTACAAAGTCCTGTCTAACTAAATCGTCCAGTTTTTGAAATCTTATTCTCAGCAGTATATATGAGAAAAATCGATTAGAAAGTGAAGGAGGATTTTGTTGGTTTATTGTTTCTATAGTCAAAGAACTGAAATACTACTTAAAATGGGAAGTCTGCCTTGCTCAGTATGAAACTGCTCTTGTGTCACTGTTCTAATGTATATTTGTCTGTCATCTGTGTCTGCCTGTCATCTATCTAAAGATACACAGAAATGTATGGGGAACTTAAGAAAGTGAAATTCGATACAAAGAGAAGTCTGGAATCAAGGTAATATGTTAGACAGGGCATCCCTTTTTGGAGCCAGAAAATGTGTACGTGCCACCTTATGTTCTGCATATTCCTCATAATTCCTACCAAACACCTGAAAGTACTTCAGGGTTTTTTGCAGAACCATTCATATTGTGAACTGTATCAGTTCAATCAGGTTCATTGATTTGATTATCTGTAGCTAGGTGGAGAAATGTTGGGGAAACATGTTTGGTGTGCTTGGTAAATGTAAAGGTTTCCATTTGGTTGAGATCATCAGCCGTGTGATAAGCATGTCTGTACCACAGCCCACACATGCATTCATGTACTTGTTTTATATTAATGTGAGTGGCAGGGCTGATCAGAATCAAGAAAGTAGGATGCTTATGATATGTAATGCTGTGTTTAGACATTTTCATATATTCTGAGGGTGTAACATAGCTGTTATGAACTTCATACCGATTCTCACATCCTCAGTTCTGACTGTTTTATTTTTCAGGAGCATTGTGAGTTACGATCCTTGTGATGCATGTGTTTTTTCTGACTCTTAATTTTATGCTGGCTCAGTTGGGCTGTGTTTTGTTGCCTTCGAGATGCTTCAAAAAGTTGAAGCAATATTAAGCTGTTATGTACATTACAGGCATTACTTATAATCTAGAAATGAACTGTATCAGCAAAAGGAGACCTAATGTTCAAGTTGTACTTTGAATAACCTGCAATGCTTCTGTAGTTTGGCATACAATCTTTGTTATTCTGCCTCCTCTGTGTAAGAGTGGTTTGAATCAAAAGCAAAGAAGAAAAGTTCTCGTTTGGTTTCTATTGTGTGTTCACTGATGCATCTTGCTATAGATAACATCTATATTAGTAGAAGTGCACTGTAACAATTTCACCATCTTCAGAGTCTGAACTTTTGTACAGGATCCTACAGGCATGTCAGTAAAATGGCATTCACTGAACATGGCAGTTTCAATGCAGAATCGATTCTAGAATTTCTTTTACCCA